AATATACTAAAAACCACTAAATTGTACACTTTAAATGCTTAAAATGGTCAATTTTATGTTATGTGAATTTTATCTCAATTTAAAAAGATACATTAAGTATCCTGTCTTTCATAACTCTGTTTCTTCAGTCTTCCTTGAAGTATACCATGAACATTCCAAGGCAGACAGCAAATGCTGCTGTCTCTCCTGGCAAGGGCTTGTGCAGGATCAATTCCTCCTACGTGTAGAGAATGACACCTAAGGTTCTTCAGCTACAGCAGAATCAGCAAAATCTTTATTTTTCTAGGGTTGCCTTCAGTTAGAAGGTGTAGTATTTTTTTAAAGCATCCTGTTATTCTCTTCTCTATTAGAGAACAGCGTCTACAAGTTGAGGTTTATAAAAGTAGGACTAAGTATTTCTACCTACTCGTATGTTATAAAACATACCGCCTTTATTTTATCCTCAAGGGAATCCTACAGAATAGCACTGCTTTCAAGTCTTTCGATTATCTGGTAGTGAAGTATAAATGAAAGTGAATGGGTTTAGGACTTAGATCTAAATTCCAGCTCTATCAGTAGTGGCGAAATCACAGCAAGTTTCTAAAGTTTCATTTCACCTTCTATAAAATTGGAAGGTAATACTACTTGCCCCACAATATTTCACATATAATAGGTACTCAACAAATTTAGTTCATCATCAACGTTAGCTCATTTTCTCTGCCATTCTATGAACACAGGTTTCATTATGCCAACAAAATTAATTAATCGTATTAATCTAAGAGGTTAGCTTCTAAATGCTATATAAAGTTTCTAAATCTATGCATTATAACTAATACTATTACGACTAGAAATTATAACTAATAATGGTCATCATCTCCCAAATTATAAATTATCTGAATGCAACATTGCTTCCATAAGAACTTTTTCCCGATTTTGTTCATTTACATTATTAACTCACTATTCCTCAAACTTCCAGTGAAAGAGAAGAGATTCTGGCGTCCTTAATAGGGAAATGGAGATAACTCAAATAATGTAAGACTAGAACTTGATATTGTCTTTCCAGTACTCTTTCTACTTCCAAGGATTCTTAAACATTTTTCAGCAAAAAGTTTCAGAATGCCACAGAGAAAATTTATCTTTTACCCAAACATTCTGCACAAATGGTAACAGGTTCTCCTGAGATCCAAATTATTTCAGTAATGCCAGGAGGAAAGCATTATAGAATCAAGAGGAATATTATGTGGTATGAGAAAAAAAGGGATAATGAACAGAGCAGATTCTAACCCCTGGGGATCTATTAAGAAAAAGAAAAAAAGAAAAACAATAATTCTCCCTGACTCTGATTGCCATTTCACTGAATATATTCACTGAATATAAATTCACTGAATATAAATAATGAGCTTATCTATCTAACTACTATTTGGATGTCTCATAGACCTTCTAAGTTGAACTTGTACTAAATTAAATTCATCTTCCTCCTGTATTTATCATCAGAGTGAGAAGCACCCGATCTACACAATCTACCTAAGCCTGAAACCTAGGAGTCACTCTTAACAACCTCAGCATTCTGACTAAGTTATTAATCTGTTGCTCCTCTAGACAGCCATTGTTCCTCTAACCTTCTATTTGGCCCTCTTCATATTGTATCTTAATTATGTCTCTTTCCTCTATTTGTCTGAGAGGTTCTTAAGAGTAATGTCATCTTTTCATCTTTGTATCTCCAATTCTAGCAACTGGTACACAGAAGTTCTCAATATATATTGACTGAAATAAGATTATGAGATCTCCATAAAGCAGAACTGTGGCCAATTTCCCCTAGAGTTTAAGTACTTTGTGACATATTCATACACATAAATATTAAGATAGGCTAAATGTCTTATTTTTTGTAAATATTTTTGTGATCCTTTTGATTGTACCTTTAGAAACATCTGTATCAGTAAACTCTTTATACTTACAAACTAGCCATAAAGCTGTCACTTAATTTTTCCTCAACTCTTTTCTCTCTCTTCTATCCATTTCACCCTGACCCATCAACCCAGCTACCTAACACTTGGTGATCCCTCCCACTCCTTACGCGCCTTGCAAGAAAAGCACTTTTTTTTAAAGCTAATGAGCTCTGAGCTCTGAAACTCTGCATTATGCTCACATTTCTCAAAGGAAAGGCCTTGCTTATCTTTTTACATTTCTAGGACCTATGCCATATTGGCACATTGTAACGTGTGATAAAATCTTGTTTGTTCAACCCAAATGTCAACTAATGAATGTATAAATAAAATGTAGTATGCAGTATATGATGGAATGCTATTTGTCAATAAAGAGAAATGAAGTACTGATACATGCTACAACATTAATGAATCTTGAAAACATGCTCAGTGAAAGAAGCCAGCCACAAAAGACCACACAGTGTATGATGTCATTTGTATGTAATGTCCAGAATAGGCAAATCTATAGCTACCGAAAGTGGATTAGTGGTTTCCAGAGGCTGGAGAGGTTGAGAAGAAATGGGCAGTGATTGCTAATGGGTATGGGGCTTCTTGTAGAGTGATATCAATATTCTAAATTTGGTTGTGGTGATGGTTGCACAACTCTGTGAATATACCCATTGAATTGTATAGTTTAAACAGGTGGATTATGTGATCTCAATAAAGCTGTTATTAAAAAAGAAAAAACTTTTTTTGCTTTTGCTACAGAGTTGAAAGGGGTCCAGGGCCGGCCCAGTGGCACGTTGGTTAAGAGCTGGCTTGGGACACCAGCTCTGAGCAGCAGGGCCCTCATTCGGATCCCACATGTGGACCGGTGACTCTGCGCCCTCTACAGCTAAGATGGTGAACAACAGCTCAACCTGGAGCTGGGCTACCATGAGTTGCCGGCAGATGGTGTAGGCTGCATCCCGTTGCAGTGGGCTGCTGTGAGCTACCCAGCGTGGCTCCCAGTGGCTGGGAGCCAGTGTGAGCGGCTGGCGGCCGGCAGCCGGCATGAGCTGCTGTGAGCCACTGTCCAATGGTCGGCGAGCGACTGCCTCACCCAGGAAGAGTGCATAATACCAACATGGGCCAGTGAAGGAACATCCTCCACAACTAGACTGAAGAACAAAAGGACAGCAACCTTTCTGTTCCTCTTTCCCGATTCCCCAATGCTGTTCCCCTCTCCCAATTCCCCAATAAAATCTTTTTTTTTTTTTTTAAGAAAGGGGTCCAGAGATAGAAAATACAGGTATATAGTGGAGATGTCAAATTATTTGACACATACTCCTCATTAGGATCAGTCCAGCCAGTTGTGTGATGAATCTTTAACCACTGGCCCATGCTAAACAGCCTGTATGTACCAGAGAGGAATGTGGAATAGGTAGCAAGTCACTCAAGTGATTTGTGACATGAATATATGAAGCAAAGTAAGTTAAAGCACTGAGATTCCTCAAATTCTAAGGACCAAGAAATTTAAATCTTCTCAGAGCCTATTCCACTAAGACTGGCCTTTTTTGCTCTATTCTGGGCTATGGTGATTGGCTGAGAGTATCACCTACTTGGTTATAACTTGGTTGTACTCCAAGTGAGATTGCTAAATTGGTACCCACCACCATTTCCTTTACCTAACCTAAGAAACATTAAGAAATTAATAATGCCCTGTTTTGTTGACTGCTGATTCATTTTCTGAGTTTACTTGCTGTGGTGTGCAAATCATAGCCCCCTAAAGATGTCTACATGTTACTATCTAGAACCTATGACAGTGCTACCTTAAATGGCAAAAGGGACTTTGCAGATGTGATTAAATAAGAGTTTTGAGGCAGGGAGATAATCCTGAGTTATTTGGGTATGTCCAATGTAATCACAAGGGTCTTTCTAAGTGAAGAAGGGAGGAAGGAGATTCCGAATCAGAAGGAGATGTAATGACGTAAGTTAATGGTCAGAGTGATGCGACTGCTGGCTGGCACCATGAGCAAAGCAATGTGGACAACTAGAAGCTGGAAAAGGCAAGGAAACATTCTCCCCTAGAACCTCCAGCCAAGCCAACACTTTGATTTCAGCCCTCTGAGACCCATCTCTGTCTTTTGACCTCCAGGACTATAAAATAATATGTCTCTATTGTTTTTGGCCACTAAATTTGTGGGAATTTGTTACAGCAGCAATAGAAAGCTAATACACTTGCCCCCACCAATATCATAAATATCAGGCCTGGAGCATATGCTTATGCCTCGTATTTGTGGAGTCCAGTTGCTTTTATTGCTCAAGACAGAACATTAGTTTGGAACAACTGTTAACTGTGTTAACAGTGGAAATGTTTTTCCCTTTGGGCTATGAAGCTCCAGAACTAACCAATGGAAACTGCAGTTTAATCAGTGGCTAAATGTCAATATAGGTAAAGAAAATACAGAAACATGCAATTCTATCACTGGGATTTTGAAACATGGGTGTCATAATAATATCGTATATCAATAATAACTTCAATTGCGTGTTCTTTGACATATTCTTTAGGGGAAGCTTTAGAAAGAGTACCAGCCCGAGACAGGATGAGCAGTTTGTAATGGGCCTTTGATTAAAGGCTTGGCAATAGTTAGAAATACACAGATAACATCTCAGAGATAAAGGAACATGAGGTAGGCAGTCATACAAAAAGGTTCTCATCTAAGATATGACCAGTAATAGAGTGGATAAATGATATGGGAGAAAAGACAGTAAGACACAGAAAACTAAACACCATGAGATGATACCAAGATCAGATTACTGCTTGGAGCCCCAATATCTCTATTTCATTAGTTGAAATTTGATCTTGCACCTAATATACATCACAACTTCCAAATTTTCCTAACATTTTTTCAATTACAATGTAAAGCTCTTACAACTGAGATGTGAGTTATAATCTAGTAAGAAAATATAAGATTTCCAACAACTGTGAAAATACTTACTATTCATTCTCTCCATTATTCAAGAAGACTTGTAACACTGATATCATCAATGTTATATCAGTTTTCTACCCTCCCCCTTCCAGGTTAAGTTTACAGCAGAAATCTCTTCCTTACTTACAACTGCACAGCGTGGCGTTTTTGAAGGAATTCCATCTTCCTCTGTTGCCCCATTGGGTCCAGGTGCGTCTTTCCTCCTCTTCCTTGTGTTGACTTTGGCTGAACTCTGTGCATCCATCTTATTTTAACTGGTCATAGAAAGTAAAAAAGAATTTTTTTCTCATTGGGGTAGAAAAAATTCTGTCACCAGTATTTCAGAGATGTTAACAGAGATTATACTCAGCAAAAGATCAATTCGATAGCACATATTTCACAAAGATGAGCCAACTGCATCTGGCAAAAACAAAGCTTCACAAAACACAGGCTCTAGTAGAAACACTGAAATGCATCTCTGTGGCACAATGGCCACAATTAATCACCTGACCTTGGAAATTAGTCCCCCTGACCAATGAAGCCTGTATACTAACTGCTAATCGCATATCTTGACTGCATGCAAGAGACTGAAATAGGGCTGGCCAAGTGGCTCAGTTGGTTAATAGCTCACTCAAGAGTTTGAGCTCTGAGAAACAGCAGTTCGATTCCCGGCCCAAGCTGAGCTGCCGCTGAGCTGCCCACAGGTTGCAGGATGGCTCAGCTAAAAAAAAAAAAAAAGAAGAAGACTGAAATAACTTGGCTGAGAAAGTTGGTTATACAGACTTTACCACTACCCCTAAGTCATCCCTGGGACACCTGGAGATATGACCAATGCAAGGAAATCTAAAAGGTTTATCTTTGGTGCATATGGAGAAAAGAGCCTTTTTTAAAGTAATGGCCATCACCAATTCCTGGTTTAATGGGGCATGGATTTAACTCTAAATGTTCTGTAAATTTCAGAGACCACTCCACCAGGGTTAGAGCTAAATTGTGGCGTCAAGTGTATTGTAACTTCTAAATGTCCTTCCTCTGCCTTCTTCAATACTCATCTCCCCTTCCTCTTTCAGAGTGTTAGCACCTTAAGCTTGTTCAGAGTCCCCAACTAATAAAACCTCATTCAGGCTTCTCCTTCCCCCAAGAAAAATTTATTTATTACTGTTTCGTTTAGCAGAGAGCTTCTAGTAACTAGCTATCACATAAAAGTTCTGAATATGTGATGTTTCATGTTAAGATGTTGGCTTATGCTACCTCTCCAACCCCTACAAGTATATTTTTTCTTGGGTAACATAATTTGCACAAAATAATTTCTTGATAATGATGACATTTTAGGCATCAACCAGAAATTGGGGATAGAGGATAAAGTTGACTTTAATGGTCAACTGCCATCTCTAGCCAAGATATAGTACAGAAAAAGGTGGAAGAAAGATCCTCAGAGCAAAGGTGAACAAAACAGATGCCAGACAAATGAGGACATTCTACTCTGCCTCACTACCTCTAATAAGCCCTCCTGAATAAGGTGCTCATCTAAGCAACAGCAGCTGTGCCTTACTTTCTTTCCTCCAGCTAAATTCCAAGTGGCAATGTGACAAGATCTACAAGAAACCTGACCTAATTCTTAGAGACTGAAGGTGACTCTCCAGGAGTCGTGACTAAGTATTAGGATGACTTGAAAAAAATGTGAGTCAAAAGTGAAAGATGAACACCACCCAGAAACTTCCTTTCATCACAAATGCAAATTAAAACGGAATAAGGGTACTATACATTTAACAAGTTTTTCCAGTGATGCTGATCAGTTTTTCTTCATGATTATTAATTATTATTTCAAAATACCCAGGTCAGTATTACTACTCCTTTCTCACTGGTCTGAGAGGCCTGATAAGAATGCTTAATCAGTTCAATTAGTCTGTTTCTAATTTGCATAGACAGGACTTCTCTGTGAGTGCCTGTTAAATTCTTTTCAGCATAGGTAGAAAAAAATCCATTTGAGAAGTGAAATCAGCAATCTGGTGACAAGCAGCTCTAGATCAGGTAGTCAATAATATTAAGTACTTACTGTGTACAAGGTACTGTAACAATTTTAAAGCAAAAACTATTTTCTCAAGAAGACCAATCAAGGTGAGGAAACCATATGTTCAGGTTATTAAAAATACTCCTTAGGGCAGGTCGAGTGGCTTGTTGGTTAAGAGTTGGCTTGGGAGTGTGAACTCTGAGCAGCAGGGCCACCAGTTCGGATCCCACATGGGCCAGTGACACTGTGCCCTCTACAGCTAAGATGGTGAACAACAGCTCAACCTGAAGCTGGGCTGCCATGAATCACTGGTGACAGCGTTGGTTGCAGTGAGGCTGCAGTGGGCTGCTGTAAAATACATGAGTGGCTGGCAGCTGGCGTGAGCTGCCGTGAGCCACCGTGAGTGGCCGTTAGATGGCTGGCAACCAATCTGCCTCAGCCGGGAAGAGTGCAATGATCACAATACCAACATGGTCCAGTGAAGCGACGTCCTCCACAACTAGACTGAAGAACAAAAGGACAGCAACTTGTCTGTTTTCCTTCCCCGATTCCTCAACGCTGTTACCTCCCCCAATTCCCCAATAAAAAAATCTTTTAAATAAATAAATAAACAAATAAATAAATAAAAATACTCTTTAGGATTCTAAAAATCATCGGGGGAAAGTGTGTTGAGAAACAGAATATTTACACAGTTTCAAAATACCTTCCCATAGATCACTTATTAATTACGAAGGGAAAAGAGTCACCTTGATAGTGAAAAAAATCTCTTAGCTAAGTGATCAAAGTTAATTAACATCACCAGTAATACCTCCTGAGGTAAGACACTGAAGACACACTACCTGCCAAAAAAAGCATAACCTGTATGGAGGAAGAAGCAAACAAACCTTAATTGAAGAACACTGTACAGAACAACAAGCCCATATTCTTCAAAAAATGTCAAGCATGAAAAACAATGAAAGGCTGATGTTCCAGGTTAAAAAGGGTCAAAGAAATGACGATTACATGTTGTGCAAAATCTAGATTGGGGGAGAAATTGTTATAAAGAATAGTTATTAGGACAATCAGTAAAATTTGAATATGGGTGGGCTGTGTATCAGATAACAATATGTATCAATGCTAAACTTCCTGAATTTGATAGTTTGCATTGTGTTATATAAAAGACTCCCTTGTTTTTTAGGAGATATGAGTATATGCTGACATATCTGGAAATAAAGGTTCATGTCTGCAACTTACAGTCAGGAAGATAGAGAGAAAGGGAGGGAGAGAGGTAAAGGAAGGAAGGAAGGAAGGAAGGAAGGAAGGAAGGAAGGAAGGAAGGAAGGAAGGAAGGAAGGAAGGAAGGAAGGAAGAAAGAAAAATGTGTGTATTATATTATACATATTAAAAAAGGTAAAGCACATATGGCAAACATCAATGTATGAATCTAGATGGGGCATAAAGGAGTTCATTTTAACATTCTTACAACTTTTCTATAGGCTTTAACTTTTTGTTCAAAATAAAAAGTTTAATTTTTTAAATACTCTACAGTGATTTCTACACAGATAGGCCCTCATAGAAGATTATCTTTTGGGGTCTCTAGAAACTGATTCCCTCTCCTTCCTGACTCTTTGAATCAGTTATATATATATATATATGTATATATATTCCAAGAAATCTAAATGTCTTGCAAGGAAGATAACAACTGCAACAGTCATGATATTGGCTTTTTTGAATACTTACTATGTGCCAGGCACATTATTTTCATTTAACTGTATAATCTGAGAAGCAGGTATCATTAGCCCCAATTAACAAATGAGAAAACTAAGGATCAGGGAAGTTAAGCAGCCTATCTAAGAGATAACATAACTAGTAAGTGGGAGAGCCAGGATTTAAATACATACTTGTCTAATTTCAAAGTCCTTACCACTATATTCTGCTGTCTCCCAGAAATTCCAGATTTTTAAAAAGCTGTCTCATCATTACTGCTGCTTCCTTCAATCAAGAACATTCTCTGTACAGCATGAGTCCCTTATGTTTTTGCACACATAAATCACACCAGCCTAAATGAACAGTGAAAGAAAAGGTCACAGTTATTTAAAGGTAAACAAGGTCCCTAGACCAATCAAATAGAACTGACGTGGCTACTGGCCTGATTCAGTGGCTGCCTGATTTGTCAGCTATACAGATTTGCAGATCTTTCCTGCTAGATAGTTTTGCTAGGGTTTCCTGATAAGCTTTCAATTTAAGCAATAAAGCATTCTTTAACATCTGCTCCCACCTCTCTGACATTACAAAAAGGTGATATTTTAAAGGTACTTGTACTTTTCATTCATGGATACAAAGGTATCATGGGTGTCATAATAAATCGAGAGGATAAATGCCATGTCATATTTCCATAACCGCAAGTTAACATTCCTTAATGTTTAATAGATAAATACTTAACACATCCAAAGACATGTTTATAGGAACTTTTCAGAAGTCTTTGTTCTGCGGGGGTGGGGTGGGGGGGTATGCATGCTATATTTTTGCAGCTTTATTAAAGTATAAATGACAAACAATAAATTGTACATACTTCAAGTACATAATTTAATGAGTTTTAATGTATCTACACAACCAAGAAATCATCAAAATTAGGATAATGAACATATCTATCACTCAAGTTTCTTCATGCCACTTTGTAATTTACCTGTCCCTCTCCACTCGGGCTTTGCTTTGCTTTTTTGTTTTATTATTTTATATTGTGGTAAAATATACATAACATAAAATTTGCTTTGCTTTTTAACTGCTTACTTCTTGAAGTACTGAGCCATCTTGTCATATGATTCAACTTAGCCAGCCAAACAGAAGGTGGCTATCATTACACTAGAAAAAGGCAAAAGGCTCTCCGCTCTCCTCCTAATAGTTAAAACACTGCCAGTGTGGTTTTAAAGATATTCTAAAGATTAATGTCTGCAGTTGCTAGATTTTGTGACACTGGATCTATTCCACTAGACTAAAAAAATAAATCATACAAAAAATATAAAATATCACAAGGAGGAATCAAGGCAAGAGAAAGGAGTTGTCAGACTAGCTATTTAAAGCTAAAGTAAAATTTACAAACATAGAAAGAATCAAGACAACCGTATTACTAACACATTACAAAGGTCTTTGCTAGAGAATAGTAATACTAGTACATTTTACCTGTATTTCAGCTGAATACATATCTTCTTCAACAAAATCTCTCTATCTGCCTTACATAAACACCTCTAGCCAAATGTCTATCTATGGCAGTATTATTCAGTACTTTTTATCCATGCTCCAGTGTGAGAAATGTAAAAATCTTTAACATCACTGTCAGCATAATGTAGTGATTAAGGCCCTAAAATCAGATTGCCTAAGTATGAGTCCTATCTCTACCACTTACGAGTCATGAGAACTTGGACAAATTCCTTAATTTCTCCCACCCATACTTGCATCACCTAACAAATGAGGTTGCAATGGGATAATCCATGTAAAGCCTTAGCTCAGTGCCTGACACACAGTAAGTACTTATAAATATTAGCTACTGTTATTATTTAGTAGTAGTATTAATGGTTGTCATCATCTACCTTAAAGCCTATCTTGTGTATCCCCTACATCCAAAAAGATTTTGTCAAGTTTTCCCCCTATGACTACTGTTATAAAAAGTATACTCTTACATAAAAGTATTTCCCTATTCCTACCCAATCCAGTTTAAGAATCACTGTTGTAGCAAGAACTCTTCTAGAGTCTGATGTTAAACTACAACGAAGAAAGAAAAGAAACATTACTCCTACTATTACTCCTACTACTACTAACAGTTAGCACTTATATAACACCTGTATGCCTAAACACTTTAAATATATTAAAACTCCTGGGCCGACCGAGTGGCGCGTTAGTTAAGAGTTGGCTTGGGACACCAGCTCTGAACAGCAGGGCCCCGGTTCGAATCCCACATGAGGGCCAGTGACGCTGGGCCCTCTACAGCTAAGGTGGTGAACAACAGCTCAACCTGGAGCTGGGCTGCCATGAGTCACCGGCGACGGCATAGGCAGCAGTGGGGCTGGCCAGCATCTGGCGTGCGCTTTCGTGAGCAGCCATCCAATGGCCGACGAACAGCTATCTCACCCAGGAAGAGCGCAATGATAATACCAACATGGGCCAGTGAAGCGATGTCCTCCACAACTAGACTGAAGAACAAAAGGACAGCAACTTGTCTGTTCCCCTCCCCCAACTGCCCAATAAAATCTTTTAAAAAAAAAATTAAGGGCCGGCCGAGTGGTGCGATGGTTAAGAACTGGCTTGGGACACCAGAGGGCCCCGGTTCGAATCCCATATATGAGGGCCAGTGACACTGCCCTCCACAGCTAAGATGCTGAACAACAGCTCAACCTGGAGCTGGGTTGCTGTGAGTTGCCGGCGACGGCGTAGGCTGCAGCCCCTGTGGCAGTGGGTTGCCATGGGCTACCGTATGTAGCCAGCAGCCAGCGTGAGCGGCCAGCAGCCACAGTGAGCCGTCCAGAAGCCGGTGACTGATCTGCCTCACCAGGGAAGAGCGCAATGATGGTGCCAACTTGGGCTAGTGAAGCAACGTCCTCCACAACTAGACTGAAGAACAAAAGGACAGCAACTTGTCTGTTCCCCTTCCCCCAATTCCCCAGCACTGTTCCCATCCCCCCAATTCCCCAATAAAAATATTTAAAAAAAAAATTAAAACACTCTTAACATTCACAACCCATTGACACAGGTATATTATTTTTATCACTATTTTACAGAAGAGGAAACTGAGGCACAGAAGATAAGGCCACATAGCTAGTAAGTGGTGAAACTAGAAATCACTTTAAAAAAACAAGACAGAAAAAGAAATCAAATTCAATCAGCCTGGTTGTAGACTACACACCCTTCTTGTGTATGATACAAGAAGGTGCCTGATAATTATCTCTAAATATTTACATGGCTGTCATGTTGGATAGGACAGACACTTATTCTGTGAAAATTCAGATAATAGAGCATGGATCACTGGTTGAAAGATGCAGAGACACAAATTTAACTAAACAGAATAAAAATCTTTTTTAGGAACAACGTTATCTGAAAGGGTCTGGGTAATCTCAGAAGACATTTCATTTTGGCGCACCAGGACATTTAAAGCAGAGACTGTATAGACACACATTTATTCATTTTGTTGGTCATAATCTGTTAAAGCCCATCTTAGTTGATCTTTTTGTTTGCTCCAATCTGTTAAAAATTTTTCAAATCTTGACTGCCACCTATCATATTAGCTATCTACCACAATTTGTATGTAATCTATAAACTTGAAAAGTGTGGTTTTTATGTCTCCATCCAAGTCATGGCTGAAAATATTGGTCAGGATAAATACGAGGTATAATAAAAAAAAATACTGTGAATGTTTAAATAAAAAAAAGTATTACAGTAAAAGACACATTGCCATTAATCCCCCTCAAAATAGTCCCCCTTGCTTTGAACACACTTATTCCATCTTTCTTGCAACTTTCTGAAGAGTTCTGGAAGTCCTCTTTCGTGAGTGTCTTTACTTCATCCTCCATCATGACAACGCTTCTGGTACAGAAATTTCTGTCAAATAAAAACACTACAGTGTATCCTCATCCACCTTATTCACCAGATCTGGAACCATGCGACTTCTGGCTTTTCTTCAAAATTCAAAATAATGATGAAAAGAAAACGTTTTGAATCGATACAGGACATTAAGGCGGCCACGACAGCGCAACTAAAGATACTCATGAAAGAGGACTTCCAGAATTGCTTCAAAAAAGTGGCAAGAATGATGGGATAAGTGTGTTTGAAGCGAGGGGGAATATTTTGAGGGGGATTAATGGCAATGTGTATTTTACTGTAATAATTTTTTTTAATTTAAACATTCACCATATTTTTCAGTTATACCTCATATATGTCCCCATACACCCATGTGACATATCATTAAAATCCTCTCCCCTCATTGAGAACCACCCTTACTACTCTTTAGGTTAGTACAATGTAAAACACAGTAAAGTTTATCTTTAGAAAACAGAATAGAGGATATATTTAGAATTCATAATGATTTAGGGTATTCGATTTAGGGTTTCACTGTACTATCTGTCACACAGCCCACAATTCTCTATCACAGTCCCTGAAATAGTGATAATAATTACAGTGACAATAACAATTATAGTTAATACTTATAGAGTAATTCCTATATGCCAAGAAGTTATAAACCTTTTGTGTATATTAAATAACTTAATCCTCATAAGAATCCTTTGAGGTAGGTTAATGCTATTATCTCTATTTTGCCGATGAAAAAATTGAGGCACAGCTAGGTTAAATGATTTGCCTAGATTAAGTACCTAGGACAGGGCAAAGCCAGGACTTGAATGCAGGCATTCTGGCTCTAGGTTTGTGTGTTTAATGACATTATGCTGCCTAGTAATAAGATGGCCATACATGAATTTAACCAAAACCACTTACTAAACTCTGGTCACATGCTACACTGCCAAGCAGGAATTTAATTTCATCTTTCAGAAAGACTGGGCTCCCTTCCCACTGGGCGTATCACTGGCAGACTACTTAGGAACGCCCGGGGCTTGTTTTGGTTTGGGCCAGAGTAGAAGAGTAGAGAGGGCACTAGACCAGGAATCATATAACATAAACTGGATTTTAATTCTAGCTCCTTCCAGCACCTTAACTCTAGGTTAAGATAAGTCCCTTGACTCTAAGAGTTTCTTCATCTGGTTAAGGAAGGTTCTAACAAAATGTACTTAATTTCTAAGTCATGGTAAGGTTCAAATGGGAAATTAGACTATAAAGAGATATTAGACTATAAACTCCCTGATGTGGTGGATATTTATTGTTGGTCTTCCCCTTGTTCAATCCTCCTGTTCTGAAAAGAGCCCATTTTCATTTGGCGACTCATTCTCATTTGGTCTGTGTGAGCTTCACCCTCAGCCTTAGCATCAGATCACATGTGCCAAACCTAAACCAATCAGTACATCACTCCGCCCTGGCCACAAATTAGGGGAGGAGGGTGGAGGATAGTGTAGTGATAGGTGAC